GTTTTTTGAGACAGGGTCTCACTGTGTAGTTGAGACTGAGCTGGAACTCACTATGTAGCCCAGGTTGGTCTGGAACTCACAGTGATCCTCCTGCCTCAGCCTCCCGAGTGCTGGGATTACAGGCATAAGCCACCACGCCTGGCTGTCTCTCATTTTCAAACTGAGAAGAAAAGACTCAGAATAGAATTAGTGACTTATACAAGGACACAGAATAAGGTGCAATGCTAGGTGTTCAAATCGCACAGAAGTGCAGTGATGTAGAGCTTAAGCTGTGGAACAGACCCAGGCTCCTGCGCAAGATTAGCCACTTACTAGCCATGTACCCCAACATCCCTCCATATGCCTCAGATTCGTACTGTAAAATACAGACAGTAATAGTACATTCCTCAGAGTTGAGAGGACCAAATAAGCTTTGTAGTCATAAAGTGTTTAGCACAACACCTGGCACATAGCTATCATCATTTTATAAATTAGTTGTATGCCAATTTCTAAAGAATCATTACATCAAATCAAGCTTGACCTTATTTAAAAGCAAAAGTTTTTCCTTTAACCTCAAATCACACTAAATTCCATAATTAATTTACTACATGTATGGAATATGGACATGAATTCTTTATTTCCTTTTTTTTTTTTTTTGTATTCTGACCACTATAAAATTGCCAATTTTCAGACTTTCCAAAAACATTTGATGGTACATCATCACAATGTACAAGTTTCATGAGAAATAAATTATAAAAAGAAGTCTAGTTTTCTTCCGTTGTTTTTCTAGAAGCAAACTGCTTTATTCATCTTGAAACTATGAAATTCCCTTCTCTGACCACAACCTACCCTTCTACCTAATTTGCATCACACTAACAAATTTGTTCTTCACCTTTCCAAGATCCCATGACATTCCTGATTCTATTAGCACAAGCACTGTCTCGGTTTTATCTCCCATTCTAACCTAGGTATCAGTCAGATGTTTCAACAGTATTCTCTTCTCAGCATGCTTAACTCTTTTCCCTATTCCTTACTTGGGCTTTTCCCCTATTAAACCACCCAAAACACATAATTCAAGGCTATTTCCTAACTCCACAAAGCAGGAGAAAGTCACAAATCTAAGGTGACTAGATTCACTACAGTGATTTCAAATAAGCCTTACTTGGGTTTCATTCCTGCTTAACAATCCTTAATCTTTTCACTTTTTCAGGCCCTTTCACTAAGTCTTTCACCAAGTCATCCCTAATCCCTGTTCTCAGTCTGTTCGATGGAGGGACTGAGGTGTGGTCAGTCATAGAACTTGTGCTTAGGCACAAAGCCATGGGTTCAGTTTCATCAAAACAAAACAATAAAATCTAGTGAATAGAAAAAAATGTTTTTCATGTATGAGGCACCGTGTTAATGTTACTTGAAACATCTTAAAGCAAACCTACAGGATTGGCACTTTTATTATCTCTACTTCACAGATTTAAAAGCTGAGATCTAGTTAAATAAATTGCCAATCTAGAGGTTGATGGAAGTCAGAATTTAAATATAAACATTTCTGTCTCAATCCAGAAATTAAGTTCTTAAACCTTTGTGCTCCATAGCTACACAAGAATGTAGTCTTAAAAATATTTTTTTATCTTTATTTATAAGCTTAAAAACAAACTTCCAACCCAATATCCCAATTTATATTATACATATATACAGCCTATACCTCTTTGCTGGCTCTTAGTCTTCCCAGTTAGCTAGTCTATATGCGCCTGGAGAGCAATTACCATCATTAACACAGTATTTATCACTGGTGCTTGTGTTCTGTATTTGTTGAAGAAATAAATGATAACTCAAAAGATTTATTTTGGGAAAATGATAATATAATCTAGATGAATACCAAACTTGGTTCCCTATTATCCTTGGGTTGGGTGGGGAGTTCTCATCAAGACCTAAGAATTCATCATAAGTTTTTGTTTTGCGTTGCTTTTTCTTTCTGTACTGAGAATTAGACCTGGGGCCTCCACAATGAACTACAACACAAACCCTTTTTTTTTTTTTTTTTTGAGACAGGATTACCAAGGCTGGGCTCAAATTTGTAATTCCCCTGCTTCAGCCTTGTAGAGTGCTAGGATTACAGGTATACACCAACCACAACGTCCATCTTATAAGTTCTATTTTTGTATAAGGATCACCTAGCAAATATTACTGAATGAAATATCATATTAGAAATATGATTTAAAGTAATTTCTTTTAAAAGCAAAAATAAGATCTGCATCCAACTTTAAAATCTTGCTTTTAAGAATAATTTAGATGTTATATATAAAGAAGAAATGCAATACAGCTCAAAAAAAGATATTATGCTAAAATTTTCTGATTAGCATAGATCATAGAATGTTAACAGAAAATAATCACAAAATATGCCAGAGTCAATAGGTCTCAAAGAGAGGCACCTGGAAAGGGTGGACAAGATCATTTACAAATGACTGAGGTGTGTTACCAGGTGTTAGTGGGCACGAGACAAGGACGCTGCCCTGTGACATAAGACAGTGTTACGAAGCCTGTTGGAAAAAAAACATAGGTAACCAATATTCCAAATACCTGAAGCAATTTCTTCAGCTTGTCTTTCCTTCTCCTCTTCTCTTCTTTCATCTTCAGCATTAAGAAGTGCTGACACAATATCATTAACTGTTTTGTAGTTTTCTCCGGTGGTTAGGATTTTACTCTGAACTGTCTGCTTCACCAGGCTTCTGTTAAAACCCATTTCCAAAGCAGCTTTGACCACAGGGGTATTCATCATGATGGCATCTTCTGAAGAACTTTCTCCAGGTCCAAAATGTACAACTATTTGAAAAGACATTTGCGAATATTCCTCAAATTTAAAACTATGGAGAAAAACATGGCACAAACTTTATGCTCATCACTTACTCTCATATCATGGGTAAGGACATGAACAACATGTATCAATACCTGGAACTCCAATAATAATTCAAACTTGATAATGGTTAAGTGAGAGTATAATAATATGTAAGATTTTTTAAAAACACTACTTCCCAGACTACATCTAGGGATACTTAATGAAAAATTCTTTAGAAGGCAGGATTAGGAATCTGTATTCTTTTTAAATTCCCCCAAATAATTCTGATACATATTCATTTTTGAATATCAATAAGTTATACAAACTTAAGAGTGAGAAATTACCTCCAGCCAAGAAAGTGGGGGAAACTGCAAAGACTTTACAGAAAAGGTCGCATTAAGAGACTGGACTTGGCACTGAGTTTGATCCCCAGCAACACACTGACAGACAGTCAGAATGACAGTCAGGCTCAGACGGACAGACAACACAGACACACACATACATATACACACACAGAGCCTGGATTTCAAGAATGAAGAGGATCACAGGGTTGGGGATTTAGCTCAGTAGTAGAGTACTTGTCTAGAAAGCACAAGGCCTTCCATTCAGTCCTCAGCACCACAAAATTTTAAAAAGAAGGAATGAATGAATGAGTGAATAGGATCCAAACAGATGGATGGTTGAAACAGTTTATAAAGATGGGAAGTATACTAAAGTAAAAGACTAGTTCACCCAAAATATGTGTTAAGATATAACCAAAAACGTGGTTAAAAAAATTAACAAGCCAAGTATAGTGACATATGCCCACAGTCAAAGCACTCAGAGGACTAAGGCAGGAGGACTGAGAGTTTGAGGTCAGCCTGGGTTAACAGGGAAATTGTCACCAAAACAAAAACAAAAATATACAAAACCAGATGGGCATGGTGGCTCATGCCTATAATCCCAGCACTCAGGAGGCCGATGCAGGATGACTGCCACAAATTTGAGGCCAGCCTGGGCTACACAGTGAGTAGTTCAACGCCAGCCTGAACTAAATAGCAAGACCTTGTGTCAAAAACACCAAAATAAAAAAATTTAAAAACACAAAACCAATAAGCAAAAATCATATAATTCTAGTTAGAGAATGACATTCAAAAAAAAAGTGTTAAGTAGAGAAAGGTGAAGGGGGTGAAGGGAGGGCAGGGGAATGGGAAAAAAATAAGAACCAAGATATATCAGATAAAGATACAAGATCTCAATGATGAATGTAACAGTGTTGTTTGCCTTAAATGTACCAATAAACTTAATGGAAAAAAAAATAAAATGAAGTTTAGTTTTTTTGTTTTTTTTTGGTTTTTTTTGGAACTGGGGATCGAACTTGGGTCCTTTCACTAGCAAGTCAGGCTCTGGAACGACTGACCAAAATCCCCAGCCCAATATAACATGAATTTAAAAAAGTGTAAGGTGATTTAAAAAACTAGAAGGTGGCCCTTTTAGATAGGGTGGTCAGGGAAGCTTTTTCTTGTAATGAGCAGGGTCAATACTAGCTCATATGGTACAGCTGTGAAATTAGAAATAATTGAGACATTACTGCCATCTGCTGGAAAATTGTTACAATAAACATATAGTGTACAATGTTGAAAACGTGTACTGAGCAACCTTGCTCAACTATATGCCTCTCTGAAGAAACAAAACCAAAACACTCAATCCCTAGCACCTCAAAACACAAGCCAAGTAAGCAAAAACCTCAAGACCTGAATGATGAGTAAGTTACAGGAATATCTGAAAGAAATCTAGGCAAAGATAATAGCAAGTGAGAAAGCCTTAGAACACAGGAAAAGCTTGATACAGTCAAGAAACACAAGGCACAAAATCAGAAAGGAAAATGCCTATTTGATTGATGGAGAACCTTGCAAGGAATTTTTATTGTATTTTATTCTAAGTTGATAGAATATTGTAGAGGGTTTTAAGCAGAAGATTATCTGATAAACATGCATTTTCAAAAGGTGACTCTGGAGATGAACTTTAATGAGGTAAAATGAAACTGGGACACTTAAGATATAGCAGAAAATAATAGCTGCAAGGATTAGGCTGACATTGGTAGAGATAAGAAGTAGTCAGATTTGGGATATATTATGAAGGCAGACACAGATTTCTAATCAATTAAACATACAAACTGTAAGAAAAGAGAAATTGGGTATGATAAAACTTTTTAAACTTAGCAAATAGCACTAAGATGGGAAAGGAGCCAATGAGGGAAGAAGGACAGGGAGAAATTGTAGCACATTAACTGAGAGGCATCTATTATAGACAAAACATGAGTATCTTTGAGATTAAAATGGAGAGTTGAACATTTCAGTCTAAGACAAGGAAATACAAAAACCTGCACTGAACATGAAGGGTACTCCATTATTTAGAAGTCTGAAAAAGCAGGAGTCAGCAAAGAAATTATTTAAGATCAACCAAAGAAATATGAGAAAACCAAGTGAATATATCAAGAAAGTCAAGGAGAGAGGGTGTGTTAAGAAGGGTAAAGCACTCAATTATATCAAACGTTAATTAACAAGTCAAGTAACAGATTTGCTAACAGCGGTTCTTGGCGTCTAATGCTCCTAAGTAAATGCTGGAGAATAGAATCCAGAGACCAGGTGGAAGGGCTGGCTCAGGTTAAGGGCAAGAACAGTTCATACTTTACAAAAACATGGATATATAATGTAAACTGCTACTTTTACTGGTGGAAGAAAAAAAGTTCTTTTTTGAGTCTTTTATTTTCTCTGTGAAGGTATGCCATGAACTAAGTAAGGTGGGAAAGAGTGGCAACTTATGGAGAAAATGTGAAATAGTCATTGTTTAGAGTGGTAAGGTGATTTCATTAGGGAACTATGGTAGGATTGCACGGCAGCCAATTTATAGCAGTGGCTATAAATTTTAAGTAAGAACAGTTAGTACCTCCACTTAATCTTTCACAGCTCTATTACACAGGAGATAGTTATCAAATACCCAAGTACTCCTTCCTTTCAAATAATATCAATTCTTTACCTGATCACTCTGAATCATGTTTTCTGGGACTCATATATCTTAGTTACCTCTCTCTGTTCCAGCTACAAATATGCCAGTCTTCTTTCTAGATGTGATTAGCACATCAAAGGATTACTGTTATATACACAGCATACATGTAACTACTCAAGGAGGTGGCTAAAATTAAATTCTACTCCAAAGATATCCTTATACTGAAATACTGTATATCTGATCTTAGCACCTAACACCTAGCTCAATTCTTAAATCATGCGAATTGGACCTTTTCTAAATCATGCCAGCTCATAGCCACCACTTCCTCTGTAGAGGGTTTTTTTGCACTTGTCATTTCATTGCTGTAAGCTATGTGATGCTGTTTTCTGCTTGTGTATTGTCTCCCCAGTTGGAATGTCAGGACTTTGAAGACAAGTAAAACTAGACTCTTTAAAGTGCCATGAATTTTAGAAGATACTTAATATTTCATTAACCACCCAGTATTTTTCCTGTGACTTAAAAAATATCACTTTTTCCATTTATATATTTTTAGTCTGAACATTCATGTGAATATTCTCATTCTATACTTGAAATACTTTCATACATACTTGGTGGATCAATATTTTCTTCTCCAGGAGTGTCTGAAGTTGACAATAGCTATGAAACAGAAGAAAAGTTAACAGGTAAATATCAGAATCCTTGAACAATTGAATATGAACAGCATCATTCAGATAAGGTTACTTTAAGTAAATATACATACTTCACATTGCTTTGTTTTGCCATAATTAGCATATAGTTCCTAAAACTTCACCTATTTCTCCTGATTCAGGAGAGCAGGAAGACATTATAATGGTTCCTTGATCCATTTAGAAAGTAAGATTTCAACTGAGTTACTCAGTCTCAAAAGGCCTCAACTCCTAGCAAGTATTGTTTGTTTGTATTCTGGAAAAAAACAGAAGGGACACTAAAGCTTTCTTCAACTCTATCACAGTGGCAGGATGAATGATTTTTTTTTTTTAACTAGAAACAAAAGAATACTCCTTTGAAGAATCTAGAACAAACAAATTGGTGACAAAGATAAATATCAGAGTTGTCATTAATATGAATACAAAATATGTAACTAAAATTAGTAAGAAAATAAGACCTGAGAGTGTAGCTCAATGGCAGAAATCTTGACTAGCATGTACAAGGCTAGCATTCAATCCCAGCACAAAGAAAGAAGATGCAAGTATCATTTCTAGTAGTATATCTGAATTGTATAGAATTGAAAATTGCTATTTTTAAAAATATATTTACTTGTTCAAGAAGATGAGGATATCTAGCTTGAATCTCGTCAACAAACTCCTGCCCTTTCATGCGTATCAAGAATTCACACCTAAAACATAAGGGGAAAAATATTTTTAAAATTGTTTATGAAAAATGTAACTTGATCATTTTAGATTAAGTGGCTTTCATACCTTCTTGATTATAACCCAAACAAAAACATTTTCTATCGCGATCCAGTAGACATATATTATCTAACAGAAAAAATTATCATAAACATATTCACATAGCAACAACAAAAAAGAAAAAGTCTGGACCAAGAATAGGACACAAGCTGACTGTTAAAAACTCTTTGAGAGACAATTACTTTCCAGGTTTAATTATTTCAGAAACTAAACTCAATACCCTTAAAATTTTATCCTTCATAATATAAGAACTGCTAATCTTTCTCCAGTGTTCATGCTTCTATCTCATGTGAAGCACAATCCACTTCAATCTTTTCAGAAAATACAAAATCAAGTATTTTCATGCAAACATACTGTGACAATATTTCTCAAGTACATGTCTTGAAATTCATAGGGCTTCTCAAAGGTGTTTCCAGGAAGTTCATGTGACATCTACTGCCATTCTACTTATTTTTTCCAACAAATGGTGCTAGACAAATTATTGTATATGCAAAAAAAAAAAATCTCCAAAACAAAGCATAAAACCTTACCCTATGCTCATACAATATGCAACACTGAACTAAACCATAAGACCTAAAACAAGAAAACTTACAGAAGAAACACAGAAAAAAGTCTTTATGCTCTTACATTAGGTAAAAAATTCTAAGACATGAGGACTGGGTATGGTATACCTCAGTGATGGAGCATGTTCTTATTAGCATACATGAGGCCCTGGATTCAATCCCCAGCATGAAAGGCTGGATGGGAAGAAGGGAGGGGGAGAAGGGAAAAATGAAAGGGGGGAGGCAAAGAGGGAGGCAGGCAAGGAGGAAAGGAGGTGAACAAAACTTAGATAAGCCAAAACATAATCCATTAACCATAAGCTACTAAAATATTATCACCAAAAATAAAAAACATATTCTCTTCAAAAGACACTATTGAAGAAATGACAAGCCAAAGACTGAAAGTTTACAAGAATGACAAGCAAGATGGCAGAATAATAGATGCTATCCTCCTTCCTGCCACAAAAAACAAGATGGCTACCTATGAATAAAGACAGCCTTGGGAGGGCTCAATAGTCCAATTAACCTATAGCAATACAGTGAAGGAAAAAAACAGAATAACTGAATAACTACTCAGAAAGGATCACTGGAGAGAGAAGCTTAGCAGAGACACCTGGAGACAGACAGGAATGAAGAAGGGCAGGAGTTATTTGAATCAACCATGTGTCATCATCGTTCCATTGCCTGCTCTGGGGAAGATCCCAGCCTTTGCCACTAACGACACCAATAGCCTGAGACAACCACAGACTTCCTGCAGGTTCACAGTGAAGGACCTTATAGTATTCATTCATGTTGAACCCAGCAACCTACTCTGCAGAAGACATTGATGGCTTCTATCACTATGATAAGGAGTAAGTACTGCTTGGCAGACTCCCTGGAAAGGAAGACTCTGTTATATGTCTCTGCCCCAAAAGGAGCAGCTGCTGCACCACACAGGGGAAGGCAGCCCGATTACTCCTCCTTGCATGCTTTGGCCCCCAGACCTGCACATGCTCCATGTGCACTGGCATGTCAGATCCCTGCTCCACAGCCACTTATGTGCTCTTGAGACCCCAACTTTGCATACATCTGTGCTCGAGACCTGGCTCTGAGACTGCTCACTAGATACCTATGCCTCAGGCAACAGAAGTTACCACTGCTGCAGGACAGACATCACCTTGGACCCCAGAGAAACTATCTCTCTGTATGTACGCACATACTGGACCCTGGCTCTGTGATTGCTCTACAGGAATGCATACATCATATACCAGTGCTACCACAAAAACAATCATGACAGTCCACAAGCCAGACATGGTACCAGAATGAACCCCATAAGCCATATTACCCACAAGAGAAAAAGAGGTCAACTGTCCGACAGCCTTGCTGCTGCCTTGGACACTAAGACCCTATGATCCTTGCTAACAATGACTTCAGCTAACAAAGCTGTACAGACCACAGGACCTCCCATGGTGCCAGAATCATCAACACGCTACAAGTTAGAATCTTCACACCTATGCACAGGTAAAGGTCTTTCCCCAACAGAACCAGTCCCTAAACTCTGTAAGCGTACCTGCTCCATTAAATGCACAGGTATCAATGGAAGGCCACAAGAAGAGGAAAAAGGAAACAAAACAGAACAAGAAAACATATTATCAAAGGAACACAACAATTTTGCAGGAACCAAACCAAAAGAAAGGGAGATCTATGTTGCTAGGCATAGATCTGTTTTAAGAAAGTCAAGTGAGTTTCAAAAGAACACAGACAACACAATGAAATTAGGAAAATAATACATTAAGAAAATAAGAAGTTCAACAGAGATTAGAAATCATTAATAGTAAGGGATTTCAATACCACACCTTCAACAAAGGACAGAGGGAAGACTCAATCAGAAACAAAAGAGTAGACATTGAAGCTGATACAGAAATACAAAAAATCCTAAGGGACAGCTATAAATTTATAGAGCAACTTGGACAATCTAGAAAAAGTGGATACATTCCTAGAAATGTACCTTTCATAACTAAAATCATGAAAAGAACATTGGAACAGACCTGTAACTAGTAAACAGATTAAATCAGTAATCAAAAATCTGATTTAAAAAAAGTCCCAAGACCACCTAGCTTAGCAGAATCACAGCCAGCATTTAAAAAAGAATATTAAGCCTTTTCAAACTCTTAAAAAAAAGAAATGAAGAGGGGGTAATACTTTATATACCACTTTTAATGCTATGTTATAAAGCTATCATTACCCTAATACCAAAGCCACACAAAGATATTTTTAAGAAAATGATTGAGTACTATCCCCAATGAACAAAGATATAAGCATCCTTAAAAAGCTAAGTATGGTGGCACATGTGTGTAATTCCAACATTCTTGGAGGCTAAGGCAGAAAGAACCCAAGTTCCAGGCCAGTCGGGGAACTTTAGTAAGACCCTATCTCAAAATTAGGAAGTTCTAAAGGCATAGCTACTCTAGTACAAAGGCCCTGGACTGAATCCTCACTACTTCCAAAAGAATTCTTAATAAAATACTAACAAACTAAATTCATTACCATATTTAAAGGATTACATGTGGTTAATCAAAATATACGGTACATATTTTAATGCTATTATAGTAAAGACACATTGCCATTAATCCCCCACAAAATGCCAAGAACTATGGAATAAGTATGTTTGCAGTGAGGGGGAATATTTTGAAGGGGATTAATAGCAGTGTATCTTTTACCGTAGCAAATTTTTTTTTAATTAAACACCATATTTTTCAATCACATCTCATATGCAAATGATCAAGTAACATTTATCCCTGTGATGCAATGATGATTTAATATACACAAATCAATAAATATGACACACCACATAGAGAAAATAAAAATCATTATGATCATCTCATTAGATGCAGAAAAAACATGACAAAATTCAACACCTTTTCATGATAGTCTCTACAAATCAAGTATAGAAAGAATGTACCTCAACAAAAATGCCATCTATGACAAGTTGACAGCTGATGTAATAAGCAATGATGAAAGGCTGAAAACTTTTTCTTTAAGATAATGAACAAGACAAGAATGCTTACTTGTAGCACTGCTATTCAATACAGAACTGGAAGTTCTAGCCAAAATAATTAGGCAAGAACCAAATCAAAACCAAAAAAAAAAAAAAAGCATCCAAATCAAATGGAAAATAAAATCACCTATAGAAAACATGATCTTATATATAGCAAAGCCTTAAGACTCCAACAAAGAAAAAAAATCTGACTAAATTAATTCAGTAAAGTTACAAAACACATAATCAACATATGTCAACAGCAAAATATTTCAAAGCAATGCCATTTATAACAGCATCAAAAACAATAAAATATTTATGAATAAATCTAACCAATGATGTGAAAAACCTGGAAACTGAAAAATGAGACAATGATGAAAGAAATTAAAAGAAGACACAAATAATGCAAACATATTCCATGTTCATGGATTAAAATAACTTTTAAAACATTCATATTATAAATTCAATGCAATCCCTATCAAAATTCCAATGCCACTTTTCACAGAAATAGCAAAAATTTTAAAATTCACATGAAACTACAAAGGAAAGAATGTAGCCAAAGTAATCTTGAAGAATAACAAAACTTGAGGTCTAACATTTACTGATTTCAAATTATATTACAAAACTACATTAATCATAACACCATGGTGCAGGCATAAAAGTTTATATAGAGCAGAAGAGCACAGAAATAAACTCATAGTCCCTACATACATCAACTAATCTTTGACAAGAACATATAATGTAGAGGGATGGTCTTTTTAATAAACGGCACTATGAAAACTGGCTATCACAGACAAAAAAAGAAAAAAAAACTTATAACACTGTCAAAACTTAACTTGAAGACCAGCATAGTAGCACATGTCTGTAATCCGAGCACTTTGGGAGACTGAAGCAGAAGGATCACAAGTTAGAGACTAGTCCAGGCAACTAGTGACTTAGCAAGACTTTGTCTCAAAAATAAAAGGCTGAGGAGGTGGGCATGGTGGCACACGCTTGTAATCCCAGCACTTGGGAGGTTAAGGCAGGAGGACTGCTGTGAGTTCGAGACCAGCCTGGGCTACATATTGAGTTCTAGTCAGTCTCAACTACATAGTAAAACCCTGTCTCAAAAAAAACCCAAAATAAATAAATAAATAATAAAAGGCTGAGGATGTGGCAGTTAAGTGTGAAGTCCCCTAGGTTCAATCCCCAGTACTTAAGGGGAGTTGGGGATTGAAATGAATAATGACTAAGATATGAAACTGTAAAACAAAACACCTACAAAACACAAGGAAAAAGCTTCCTGATATTGGCCTTAGAATGAGTTTTTGGATATGACACCAATAGCAGAAGTATGTATGAAACTAAAAAACTTCTACATAGCAAAGGAAACACTCAACAAAATCAAAATACCACTTAGAACAGGAGAAAATATTTGCCAACCATGTATCTGATGGAGTTAACATCTAAAACATGTAAGGAATTCAAACTAACTAGTAGAAAAACTTAGTAGCAAATACAACTCAACAGCCAAAAAAAAAATTTTAAATTGGGCTAAAGTCCTAAATGCATATTTTTCCAAGGACATACAATTTAACAGATATGAAAAAGGTGCTCATTGTCACTAATCATGAGGGAAACACAAATTAAAATTCCAGTAACATTTCATTAATTTTAATTAGATTTTTAAAATTTTTAATTTGGCAGAGTACCAGGGATCAAACTCATGACCTTGTGCTTGGTAGGCAGGTGCGGCACCACTGAGCTAAATCCCCAGCAGGGTTGATTTTAATGTAATTAAAGATTTTTCATGGGCAAACATTTGAACACATATTTTAAAGATGTACAGATGACAAACAAGCACATAACATGCTCAAAATCACTATGCTTGGGGAAATATTAATTAAAACCACAAGGAGATACCATTATCCACCCACAAGAATGAGTAATATAAGACTGACAATGCCAAGCATTAGCAAGGAAATGTAACACTTAGAAGTCTCATACAGTACCAGTGGGAATTTAAAATGGTACAGACAATTCAGAAAACAATTTGGCAGTTTCTTGTAACATTTAAAAGCAACACACATCATACAACCCAACAAGTCCATCTCTAAGTCAAATAAAAACATGTTCACATGTTTATATATGTCTAGAGTTGCTTCATGATTTCTCTCAACTGGAAATTCCAATGTCCTTCAACTGGTAAATGAGCAAACTGGTACAGCCATCTAACTAACAGAATACAATTCAGCAAAAACATAGTAAAATTACTTATGACACAACATGGATATGTCTCAAACGTACTATGCTAAGTGAAGATATCAGACTCCAGCTACAAACTGTGTGATTTATTCCATTCTGTATGACATTATCCCATTTATATGACATTATAGGACATTCTAGAAATGGCAAAACTACAGGAACAGAGAATAGATTTGCTGTTGCTAAGATCTGGGATGGGACAAAAGACTGACTATAAAATATAAAAGAGCATGAGGAAGTTTTCTATGGTGATGGAATTGTTCTATTTCCTAATAGTGGTCATATGACACTATGCATTAAACCTCATATAATTCCAGCGCTAAGAGTTGAAGGAGGAAGATTATAGGTTCCATGTCAGCCTGGACTATGTAGCAAGACTGTCTCAAAACAAAAGAACATAAAATCTAAATCCCAATTATGGGGGGCTAGGGCTATCAAGTTCAAGGAGTTCTTGCCAATTCAGAAAGAACCTGTTTCAAAATAAAGTTAAAAAGGAGGGAAAGGGCTGGGTATGTAGCTCAATGGTACAGGATTAGCCTAGCAGGTGCAAGACCTTGGGTTGAATCCATAGTACTGCCTGCCCCCCAAAAGAAAAGAAAATCCTCATTAATTGAAATTGTATGTAAATTATAAGTCAATAAGCCTAACTTATTATAAGTCAATAAATAAAATTATTCCCTTTTAAAACAGTACTTTGAGAGGTTCAAAGTAATTATAATATGAATACAACAGAGAACATATACACATTCAAGATTCAAGATGATCACTCTAATGACAAAGCTAGTTATCTCTACATGTCTGACCTTTACACACTTTTCAATTATTTTTATTGTTCAACAGACTTATATTCATAATCATTAAAGATGGGAAGTATAATAAATGCTGGTTGCTCTATATATCCCTTTGCTCCAATAAATCCCATGAAGACAAATTTCTGTCCATCTTGTTCACTGTTATATTCTCATCTAAAACTGTAAGTGGGCACCCAGAAACTTAATAAATGTGCTAAAATATAGTGATATTGACTATTCATTTTGGTTTTTTATTTACTGACATTAAAGATTACTTATAACTGAAATCTATTGTTTTGAGAAGCACTTACAAAAAGCACTCCTAAATCTTTAAGCATTTCAAACAAAATATAAATTACAAAAATAAGAATTTTTTTTGTTTTATAAATCACAAACTATACCAAATCACACATCAGAATTTGGAAGCTACTTCTTTTTGATTAATTATAACACGAAATTCAAATTATACACATATATAACCCAGGCACTGTGGCACATGAGGATCACTTGAGTCCACAAGTTCAAAACCACTCTGAGCAACACAGAGACCCCAACTCAAAAAAAGAAATCATACATATATAATTCCATAGAGCCAAACATAATTAAGTCATTTGAAATTCTAACATGCTTTGCCTTACATAATAATTTTAAGTAAATTAACATCACTTTTCAAAGTAAAAAACATCAAAATTTGCTTTAAATATAATGCACATTAGTGATACAAATGTAAAATGTATTAATCCACAAAAAATATGTTACTTCAAATTTTTTAATCATAAATCATATAAAAATGGCAAAAGGGATTTAATTTTCTGAAAAGATTTCAAAGATTCTTCAGTACTGTGAAATACACTCGCAGATCAAAACACTGTATTGTACAATTCCACTTATATGTGTACCTAAAGCAGTCAAGCTCAAGCTCATAGGGATAGAAAGCAGAACAGTGGTTGTGGGGGGAATTGAGGGAATAATAGGGAGTTAGTGTGTAATGGGTACAGAGTTTCAGTTTGAGAAGATAAAGTGCTCAGATGACAGTGGTGATAACTAAAGAACAGTATGAATGTACTTACTGCCGCAGAAATGTACACTTCAAATGGTAAATTTTGTTATATATATTTTATCACAATGAAATAAAATAGAAACACCTAACCCTACCTCCTCATTTTATAAGTGAGGTCCAAGTTCACATAGCTACTTAATCACAAAGTCAGAATTAATTTGTAATTCTACCCCACTAACAGCACTCCCTCTAACTTACTTCTAGGATATAAGAATAAGTAGCTAAGCCAGGCACAGTAAAACATGCCTTAGTCCCAGCCACTCAGAAGACTGAGGAAGGAGGATCATAAGTTTGACACATTCCTGCTGGCCAGAACCACCACTGGTGCATACATGACTGTATCATGGAGCAGTTTGTACCACTGGTGGTACAAATGGATCTAATCACTTTTATCATTTTACTAATAAAATTAATTTAAAAACCACCCAATGGGGCTTTGTATGTACTAACAGTGGTTCAAGTCACTCGGCAGCAAGACATACAAATTATGGCCTCACTGAAAATATGTTAAGGATAGCATGAGAAACTTAGAGAGATGCTGTCTCAAAAAATTTTTCAAAAAGGTTGTGGGCTACATCTCAGCGGTAGAGTTCCATTGAATCAACCCCTGGTAGCAAAACAAGTAACAGGTAAATAGCTTGGAAAGCAGCTCACTGCCAGAGTGCAGTCTAGTTAAAAAAAATAATGGCCCTGGGTTTGACCATCAACACTAGAAAAAAAATTCAGAAAAGGGACACTGCTAGAGACACACTGGCTAAAAGAGGTGACACACCATAAGATAAAACTACACAGTTATAAAGATTTTATTATATGCATTTTTACAACTGCCTCATTCCCACAACTATTTTGGGAGAGGAGGGGAGTTTGTTTTTTTTGAGACAAGTTCTCACTAAGCAGCAATCCACCTGCCTAGACCTCCCAAGTGCTAGGATTATAGGCGTGGGCCACTATGCCCAGATTTGTATTCTTTCTTGCTTTCCTCTTCCTGTATCTTTTTTCTAATTTATGTTTTTTTCTTCTGTTTTTTTGGGGGGTTGGGGGGGTTCCAGGGATCAAACTCAGGACCCTGTGATTGCAAGGCAGGCAGTGGAACCACTGAGCTAAATCCCAGACCCGTCTTCTGTATTACATACTTGAAATACTTAAGTTCTCTGTAAAGAAGAAATGTTCATAACTATAAATGTGTTGACAAAAATTTTAAATTATATACACAGCTAACAAAAGAAGCATACAGAAGACTGCAGAACATTTTAATGAAAATTTGGTCTTTCCAAAAACTAATTTAGCAATGATATGACAGGCTACTACATGCAATTTAAAATCTGATTTAATCATGAAGGCATACCTACTTCCCTCACATGTAGAGTTTTGTACAGGAACACTTTTTCAAAACAATTTCCTGGTTTGCAGCCAGGGTATACTTTAGTGGCAGAGTAGGCACCAGGCACATGCAAGGTCCTGAGTTCAATCCCCAGCACCAAAAAAAAAAAAAGACAGAAAAAAAAGTTTTTTTAAATTACCTTGGAAACCACTTGGCATGCTCTACCCATGGATCATCTCCAGATTCCCAACACCTCAAACCACCATCACAACAAAAGCATTTGACATCATCATTGCGACCTAAGGGGAAAATAAAGACCAAATACTAACGTATGTTCCAATAGTCAAAATGAACTAGATAAAATGTATAGCTATTTTTTACTTTCTTACCAACATAATAAAAACCAGCACTTGCAAGCTGCTCAGGCTGAATTGGAACAGTAGATGGCCAGTATATAAACGTCCTCATTCGAGCTGCATGTGTCTGCATGCTCAGATTTGAAATACTAAACCTCAGCATTTCTAGAGAATTTTCCAAAAACGGGCAGTTGGGAAAATGTCTCCGGTGTTCTGACATAGCATCATCCTTTGGCTCCCAGTTACTCAGCTTTCCACCACAGGCAAAGCAGGCGACCCTATCTCCAGGTCCCATATAATAAAAACCAGCTCTTGCCAAGTCTAATGGTGACAAAAAGGTTAACGGCCACATTTTGTAAGTCAGAAATCTGGCTTCTTCAGTACTCATGGCATAACTGTAGGGGTTAGTCCTCACTGGAGAGAAGTCCTCAACTGCTCTGGAGTTAAGAGGGTTTGGAGAAAGGCTGGAACAAAAACCACTGAATGAGCCACTATGTTCCAAAGTAGGAGATAATGAATGTGTCAGGCTGTCTCTCACTGCAGAGTTATTCTTAGAGGTGTATTGCAGGCTAGCCGAAATCAGATTCTGAATAAAGCTACAGCTAGGGTATAGCTGTTTATGCTTTTCAATAGGATTGTCTCCTTGTTTCCAGTTATCCAGCATCAGGCCACAACAGAAGCATTTGACTTTGTCCTTCACACCAGTGTAATAGAAACCAGCACGAGCAAGACTCCTCTCTGAAACAGGAACACCACTGGGAAAAGTGGAATATGTAGACATTCTGTAGAGTTCACATGAAAAGTCATATTTCATTTTTTGCTTGCTGTCATTTGTCCAATTTGGCAAGATGGTGCTCTCTTCCATTATATTCTTAATTTTTTGATATGAGGGACCTTGGACAACTCTTTGGAAGGTAGTTTTGTGCATGAGTGATGACTTTTTTTGATGGCTAAAACTTTTCACATAAATTTCTCATCTCTTCGCAGTAAATTAGATTTTTTTACCACAAAAAAAAAGGATCAAATGACAGACTCCTACTTATGTAGAATTCACTACACCTTCTTTACTGGATTTATATATAACTGTACACTCAGGTATGATGAATCGCTCTTCCTAAATTACCAAGATTCTATTTAGTACTCTGTGGGATGATTAACTCTTTTAGGTAATCCAAATGCTATTTACTCATAATTTGGTGTAATCACTAACCTAAAGACCTGAAAAATTTTATACAGTTTTGAACACATTAAAACTCTTGGGCTTTTCAAAAAAGTTTCTTTTTTTTTTTTGGTACTGGGAATAGAACTCGGGACCTTGTGCTTGCAAGGCAGGCGCCAAAACCACTGAGCTAAATCCTCAACCCAAAAGTTTATATTCTTAAAATTCTAGGTAACTATAGAATCCTTAAATTATGCCTTTAATGTGCTTTTGGTTATAAGCTATGAAGTCTGAATATCAGACCAATTACTGGTTATGTCATTAGAATAAGGTTATAATGCAGGCTTTTTTTCCTTATGAACAATTTGATATAATATCCAAATTAACCTCATTTTACTCTAACAAACAAAAGTAACTGCTCATACTATCTAATTCCACATGGTTTATCATCAAAGTATTTACTTAACTAAGTTACATTAGCTTCAGTTAACTTTTGACGAAGTCCAGCTTTATTGAATTTATGTGATATCAAATGAATTTTGCTTAGGGCTTACAAATTGTTAACTCTTTATCTGTTTAAAACTAACTAATCTGTTTCCAATTCCCGAAGTTATCATTATATTGTTTCTTCTTAATTGTATCAATTACACCTGATCAACTAAGGTTTTTTTTTTCCATAAACCAGTTAACCATAAAATTTCCACAGCATTTTAATAATTAAATAACCTGCTCTTCATTTAAGGACCGTTCAGTTATAATACTGGTCATGTTGTAATTCAGAATCAATTTATCAAAGGACGTATCTTTCTTCTGCTATCATTAATGTCTAAAAAAATATTACCAACAGAACTATTGCATACACATAATGTACCAGTAATTTACTAAGCTTCTTTCTAAAAACAAAATTACACTTCAAACTATAATCCTTTATAAAGTTTTGGGGTCTCCACAATGGGGTTTATTTCTGCAGAGGGGGAAAATGGGAGAGAGGAAGACTCTTCAGAGCTGTAAATCTGAAAAGAAAAAAACAAGTTAGTTCAGAAAACTATGACCGGCATGGAGAGTAAAATTTACAGTCTCAATTTATTCAGTAAAGTAAAAAATGATTAAAACTTTAGATAATACCTCTGAATTCCAGCAACTTGTCACCAAAGCTTTCTAATTGGAAAAGCTCTTCATTAAAATAAATACACTTAATGTACCACCATAGCACTAACTATGCATGCCTTTAACACACAACTTTAAAGTCGGATGGACATTTCCATACAGGAAAACATCTTTCCTTGGTTTACTTCCATTTTCTGATTTTAAAATAATAATTCTGCTATTCTATTGGAGGCAAAAAAAGGTGCAGCGATGGAAAAAAAAAATCACACTACACCCCTTCCGTGACAGCACAGCAGTTAATTAGATGGGTATGGCACTCTTTAAAGTCAAGTCTCTCCAGGTTTGCCTAGTTAAAAGACATCAGGAAATAAATACTCAGCTAATGTAAACCCTTAAAGACTCATTCCCTGCCACAAGTCCAAAACCACCACAGAAAGCAACTCGAAAACAAAGACAACGATCTGTAAAACACTGGCCCTGGCAACATGAATACTCGCAGGAATCCCTTCATTACACAGCATCTTGCATCTTTACGCATTTTTATCTGCACAGATCCTACCCATTTTGCTCTCGTTAGGCAAACTGTAGCTGGAGAAAGTGGGGGAGTCAGACTGGAAGGGAAATCAAAAGAAACTATGGGATTCATCCATTAATTTTCCGGAGTTCTTATAACTCACATTGTAATATTAAAGTGGCATAGCGCAGTTATATGACATTTCGCCGCCATACGAACGTCTTCGTTTTAAAATAGTAAAGGAATCCTGAGGCCTAAATTTAAAGCCTTGCTACCAAAAAAAAAAAAAAAAGGAAACACTTTGGTATCTGGTCAAAAGTCCAAAGTCCAAAGGCTGGAAAAGTGGGCGGTGGCCACACTGGGCTTGAAAACAAATCATAAAAAATAAAAAAAAATAAAAAGACTTGTCGACGCCAAGCCCTATAATTAGGATTTCCGAATTAAAGAAACTCCCGGGCGAGAGTAGCAAGCAGAGCGCCCAGGCAGCCCAGGCTCGGCCGAGGAGCCCCAAGCCCTTTCTCCCTCGCGGGGCAATAACTTCAAGGAAGCGGACCCCGCAGGCCCGCGAGCCCGGGGCCGGAAGGAGCTGCACTCACCGAGGCGCTGGGGCAGCGGACACGAAATTGGGGCAGCCGCCCGCAGGCCTCCGCACACCGAGGGAGCAGCGGCACCTACCCAGAGTGAGGCCGGGATCCACCAGCTCCCCTTAGCCCCGGGCGTTCCCGAAACCCCTCGCCCCAGCTGGGCCGACGCCGACGTACGCTGACGTCAGCACGTCCTGTCGCGGGGCTCACACCAGCCGCCGCGCGAGGGCGCTCTGGAGTCTGCGGCGTTGCGCTTAGTTCACTGCGAGGAGGCTGAGCGTCCGGGACCTGTCCCTGGGCTCTAGAGGGTTGGCGCCGCGAGGCCGCCCACCCGAGGCGGAGCAGTGTGCTCG